GATGTAATGGTCTAGAACCGCCACTGGGAAGTACTGTTAGAGCTTAGAGGATGTGGGTATGTGTTTTTGTGTAAATGTAAAGGTTCCATTTCCAGAAATGGGAAATGAATGAGCATACACTGTACACCTTTTGGTCAGTTTTACTTGGTCCAAAATGTAAAGTATTTGCCATTTAGAATAATAACAGAATATCGTTACTGTCCTTGTACATGTATAACAAAACTCCACCAATGCATAAAAATAAAAGAAAAAAGTAAAGAAAAATACAATAAAATATACAGTAGGCCTATAGATATACCATATACTTTTTAAAAATTTATTCTGCAAAAGAATGCATCGGGATTATCTAAATGCAGAATATTATAACTGATAAACCACATCAGCCATTGGTCACGTGTGAGTGGTGCGTCATCGGGCAGCCAGCATAACGCGCATTAGCGTATTTATGTTAGACTCCTTGGCTTTGATTCACGTACGCTTTTGCTTTGTAGGTTATTCAGATGGTAGCTAATCGGCTCACAGACGTGTCTCGTTTTAGTTACATTTTAACAGGCAGTTCTGTGAGGCAGTCCTTCTGTGTCGTTCCTTATTTGTTCCTGGCGAGTGATCGCAAATGAAGGTAATCTAGTTCAGAAACTAGAGGTAAGAATAATTTATTGACAGGCGTGAGGTAGGAAATAATATAGACTTTTACGAGAAAAAATAAAGGCATGGATTGTTGCTCATTTTTGCTATTTGTATATTTATATAATCGACAGTTTGTGTTTGGATTTTATCAGCAGCCCAAATGAATTCAGATGATTGTTATTCTTTTGTTAAAATAACCGACCAAAAAAAAAGAAAGAAAGAAATGACCTGACCTTTGAGGTTTCGTTTCAGTAAGCAGTTGGCGTGTGAAGTTTTGCTTTGAGGTGTCACTGTGTTATTTATCTCCGTGGCGATGCGGTTACTCCGCTGTTGATGGAGGTTCAGCCGCACCGCATGGCACCGTGCGAATCGCAGGGGTGACGAGAAAGCTGACTGGCGGGGATTAGAAGAGCACCAGACTGGGCAGCCTCTGCCCAGAGACAGCAGGCCGTGAGACGCAAATGCCAGCGGCGAGAAAGGGGGCAGAAAAACGTCACCCATTTTAGGGTGATGACGCGCTTCATTCAGCATCATTTCACCAACAGTTTGGATCAATGATTTTCATGTGATTCGATACCTCTGACTCATGAGGGATTCAAGGAACATTCAGAAAACTGAAAAGAGAATTATAAAAATGTGCAAAGCAAACTTGCGCTGTATGTATTTATATATAACTAATAACTGAAATTTCATTACCGTGACATTTGCAACCTCTGAATGTGAATTGTTTATACACAGAATCTCAAAAAATTCTCCTTTAGAATGTCATTTTTTTCTATTTTATGTATGTCAAATTATTTATATAAAATAAAATTTCTATATAAAATTCTATAATTTTTATAGAATATCCTTCCATCAACCACATTTTATTATCCAGTTATATTAATTATATTGACTGATATCAAAGATTGAACAGGATATATTTAAGGTTATATTTTAAATCTGTGTGGTGTCTTTTTGCTTATGGATGTAACCCTGTCTAACATATTAACTTTGTCTTATGATTGGCCCACAAGTAGGCGGATAGATAGTTTTACTCTGGTAATGTGACGTATCTGCATCGTCACACAATGATAATAAAGTCACGCAAATAGGAAGGAATTGTTTGCAGTGGATATACTATTTATGCAGTATTACACCAGTACAAAGCAGTTTTAAAATGTTGCTGAGATCAATGGGACAGAAAGGTGAGGATGTGTTGAGTAAAACAGGAGCCTAACCCATTATCTTTGAATTGCATTAATATGTTTCGACTGCATACATACTGTGGGTTCATAGTCACTCAGGCACCTGGTCAAAGCCAAGCGATCATCCAAGTCAAACAGTCGCAGGGCTTATGTTTCCAACCGAGCAGGATACAAGCACAGACATATGGTGTCACACACCCTAACCCACCTTCACAGGCATACAAACGCACGCACACACACACACACACACACACACAAAATGCAGGATGACGTCAGTTGGTTGGCTCGCTCTCTCTCAAAACAGCATGACACTCCCAGTTGCTCGGCTAGGTTCAGCATTAGCGCTAGGCCACCACCCCACCACACGTTACCATGGTGACACTTGGCAGCAGCAGAAGAGTCTGTGCAAATAGGGAAGGTGGCAGGGGGGGGGGGGGGCGAACCACACTGCAGTGTTACAGCCCTTCCTGTATGTGGCTGCACAGTGTATATGAGTATTTATATATGTATGTATGGGAGCAGCCAGGTGTGCGACACAGTGACAGAGAGGCGGTGGCACAGTGCCATGTGAATGAGGAGGTGCCCGTCTGGAGTAGATCGAGCATAATGGCACAAAGGATTCACGCCCCTTTTAAACGTTATACCAAGGCATACCATTGTTGGTAATATGGATTCTTGGGCAGGTAGGCGACACCCCAACAGAGGACCGTCATTTTCATGCGGCCATCTAGGGATCCAAGCCTGTCTCTGGCTGGTGCTAGCGTGACTCCGCCTTATTAAGTATGTAAGTCGAAGGGAGGTGCGTATGTGTCACCACCACGCAGAGTTGGCGAGGGTGACGTTGTCAGTCAGTGAAGTAACGATTTTCGCCTCCTAGGGGTGGTCTATCAAAGTTCCTATCAAGCCCTTTACCCAATCAGAAGAAAGCCGTTTCGCTGTGGCTCAGGGGTCTTTGTTAGTGAAAGTCTTTTACAGTCCATGTACCTGCAAGCCTTCTATTTCCTGTTGTGTTGGTTTCCCTCAAAATGTACAGATAAAGAAGAACCCCAATCTCCATTCTTTTTTTCTCCCACCTTTTCTCATGACCATCTTGTCTAACCATCATTTAGCGTGAAGCATAATGGCGATCAGCTGTCCTGGTTATGTGGAAATGTGGTTTGTGCTGTGTTGGTGCCAGAATAGGCATCAGGGTCCTGCCGTGCATAACACTGTAGTTAGAGACTATCAGCGCTCTGTTCATTTCTGCTCCCCGCAGTGTGTGAGCCGTGGGGAGCTGCTGGTGTCCCTGTCCTACCAACCCGTCACCCACAGGCTCAGCGTCGTGGTGCTGAAGGCCAAGCACCTGCCCAAGATGGACATCACAGGCCTGTCTGGCAGTGAGTATCTAAATCTGCTTCTCTTCGGCTTCCGTGTGTCAAGTTATTTCAGGAAATATATCCATCCATCCACTTTTCTGTTACTACTTACCTAGTGCAAGCCTGCAGCTTATCTCTGGTACGAGGGGGCAAGATACAAACCTGCCTGCTGCCTGTGCCACTGTCGATCACTCAGACAAGTTCACATTTCAGGAAATTTAGACACACTTATTCACCTAAACTGCATAACTGCTTATTGGATTTTGGATATTCTATAGCATTTATTTTAGGGGTTCAGTGGATTTTTTTTTTTTTGGAATTTCGTTTTATTTCTTGTGGTACCCAGCCAATGCTCTGCCCCTTCTATTCCTAGACCCATATGTGAAAGTGAACATCTTTTACGGCCGTAAGCGCATCGCCAAGAAGAAGACTCACGTCAAGAAGTGCACGCTCAACCCCATTTTCAACGAGTCTTTCATTTACGACGTGCCCGCTGAGCTGCTACCTGACATCTCAGTGGAGTTCCTGGTCGTCGACTTCGACCGCACCACCAAGAACGAGGTGGTGGGCCGCCTGGTGCTGGGTTCACACAGCCCCTGTTCCTCTGGCGCCCTCCACTGGCGGGAGGTCTGCGAAAACCCCCGTCGGCAGATCGCCAAGTGGCATAACCTCACTGAGTACTAGTGTAAGCCCATCCCCCACGCTCACACTCACATACAAAAGCTCAACTTTCAGAGAAATATTTTTTCTCACCTTACAATCTTATTTTAAAACATTCATATGGAAAAAAAAACCTTTACGGGACTTGTACAGTGAACTGTTCTTTGTGCCGTTAATAATGATTATGCGATTCTGTTAAATTATTGCAGGAATTTTGTTCAAAGAAAAAAATTAATATACTGAAATTGTGCAAAAACATTGGGGAAAAAATAAGCCGATTGAATGTGAATAACCAAAATACACAGTGCTGTGTTTGTATTTGTTCTTTATGAGGTTAAATGTTCGCAGCAAGATGGAAAGAATTAGCCCCCCGCAGAGTTCACACAAAAAGACTGTGACCTGTCAGAATTCATGCCCCTCTTTCTCATTCAGTTCCTCTTCCGTAGGTTGTATGTTGGTGGTATATACAGTCAAATTATTGCATGTCTTAATAATTAAGAAAACAACGGCACAAGTGCAAATAACTGGAACTAAACCAGACAAATAACCCATTATTGAAGTGTCCAGTTATTTTTAATGGATATTCAAACTGGTCACATTAATAAAATAAGGTTAAAAAACAGATCTGAAACACAAATCCTCCTAGAGCAATACAGTCTGCGAGAACGGTAATGGGTTACTTGGAAAAAAGTGCATCTTCAAATGGGAAAATACTGTTATTCACATGATGATGATGACGATGACGGTGACATTTTATTTTTTGTTTTTTGAGGATGGCATTGTGCCTCCCCCACTATGACTTATATAATTTGACGATACCGTGAATGTTTTAAGGCATTGTGCATACAGCAGATTTCATGTTTCCATGTTTACGCACAAAACCCATGTGGACGGACGGGACTCCAGTCTACAGGATTAAACCGGAGATATTCTGATATAGGTAGCGCATGAAAGTAGAACGAAATGTATGTGTGCAATAGGTTGTAATTAAACTTTAACCTGTACTTTTCCCGTATTTATTTGCTTTTTGTTTTAATTGCTTAGTGAATCTGCGTCCATGGTTGTGATGTCAATGTGGCTCACTCCTTTGAACTGAAAACCGATGAACTTATCTCCCGGAATGAATTTGAACATTGCCAGTTTACACGTCTATTTTCAAGCAATATGGATTTTCTTGGAATTATTTGCTTGGTTCCAAAGATTTAAGTTATCCTAGCTTTGAAAGAAAAATGTCTATTATACCATATAGCCTACCCTAGTAATTACTATATCAGACTATCTGCTATTCATAATCAAATCCAAATACCCATTGCCAGATAATTAAAAAAAAGTTATTTTTGTATACATAATTTCAATTTTACATCTTTACTGCTTTGCATTCACATAAATATTGGCACTACCCCCATGTGAACCCACCCAATGCCCACATTCATCGTGTCACCCATGTAAAGAAACGTCCATCTTTGTGTCCATGTGACACTCGCAGAAACACTTTGAAGGGTCTTGGGTGATGATCAGCACGTTGACCAGGCTTCCCTTGGTCCCTGAACATTCTCAGTGTGCTTCGCTGCCTGCGTGGCATTTATTACTCTTATTCATACAAAGTGATTTCTGGGCCAAAGTTGCCTTGGAAAGCTTTGAACTGTTCTAGTCTAAAGCAGCTGATTCGGATCAGTGAGCCTATCCTCTCAACTGAAACATGTATGAATCACAACTTAAACAACTATAACTATTATCAGCACAAACAAACATGGATGGACTATTGGTGCACTGGTCTGAAGCTCTGTCACTTTCTGCAGCAGGAACACTGTAATGAAACAGGTTTTGGGTGACTTGCCAATCCACACGAGTCTGACTTCCCGTTAACTCGTCTCGCGATATGGCATCTTGCCCAAGTGTTGCATCCAGTTTCATTACAGCCATCCGTTGGTGATTCGGGAAAATTGAGCTGAATTTAGTATTTGTGCTGTCAGGCAATTACTGCTGATGGGTAATTTGGACACAGGATATAGAGCATCAACAGTCAAACATTAATGCAAAGCAAAGGTATATGTGTGTGTATATATATATATATATATATATATACACACACACACACACCCACACACACAGTCAAAGTCTTCAAAAAATCTGGTGCAATACAGCACCCCTGTAAACTGTGTACAGTATGAACACTAACTAGAACTACAGTAAATTGTTTGAAATGTACTTTGTATGAAATTTGAGGATTTGTTCGGGACAATGGAATTTATTGCAGAGAAGGACATTTGGCGCCAAAAGACACTAGTTACTTGCTAGAGAGTGTGTTGCCTTTGGAATATTCATAATATCTCTAAGAATTCATCTGGAGATGTGGAAAGGTAAACTTGTGTTGCTCTTTTCTTCAGTAAGAGTGTATAGGGTATGTTTTTAAATGTGTTCGTCCTCTGTGTTTTTCTGGCTGAGAGTGTTTTGTCTATTTTACTGCTCTTAAGAAAAGAGGGGCAGGGTATATATATATATTGTAATATACGATGCTGAGATTTTACTTTTCTTTTTTTCTAATGAAGGTGTATATCAAGTATCTACAACAATTTGGTAATATGGAAAACAACACTGATTTTGTTTTCTTGTAGCATTTTCATACAAGTTTTTTTTTTTTAGTTTAGTTTTGTTTTGTACCTTTGTGTTGTTTAGAATGTCAAAACCTCCCTACATAACCTTAGAGGAAATCTTAAAAAAAAAAATTGTAACCATGAAATATTTCATGGCTCATTGGCTATATTTTTGCAGTATGTGAATTTATATTCTTTGTAGAGAAAACCACAATACTTCCGTGTCCTTATTAAGAACAGCGCGTCTTCTTTGGTTGTTAAGATGCTAACTTGCCCTGACTCCTGGAATTAGTTAATCCATCCTATATGGTGTTACACGTTCACCAGTAACTAACGTGACGGAATGTTCTGCCAGGGGGAGTTGATGTCTGAAGTGATGCTTGCAGAAAAACAATATGCCGGCAGTTTGGACTTCAGATTTTGTACAACAGCTCTGGTCTCTTTGACATGCTGTCTGTTCCCACGGCTGTCATATCTGTTGTACCTAGACGCCGCCTTATTCATGTTCGCGCCATTATTCCGATTTGGCACCGTTTTCAAACAGACCCTTACAGCACAATCGCTAACAGGGCTCCATGAGTTTCATTGCGAAATGAACTTAATTGACAGACGTGTGCATTCAGCTGTAAATTGGTTTGGTGCGACGTGAAAATCTCACCAGAGACACTTAATTTTTCAGACATTGAAGAAATTATCAGTGACAGCCTTTAGGGATGCCTGACAGGAGACCAGAATCCCACTGGACAGTTAAGTGCTTTGTGAGAACAAAAGAAATACTGTTTTTATTACATTAACTAGGTGGTGGACGGTGGGGGGAGGGGGGGTTTGGGGGGCGAGGGACAGCACGCAACAGTTGAAGGTTTATGTACACACTCTGATTGGGAGCAGCAGTGTTTGTACTGGGACATGGTGGGATTGCAGAGAGATTTCAAGGAGAAAGTGGCTCCTTGGCCCAGCGTAGCGGCAGATGGACACGGCGCAGGTGGACGCCCACCACGGCTCCACGGACGTCGCAAGCTGCTGCTTTTCCTTCGCCATTCCTCCGCTTCTTCTTTTTCATCCCCCCCCCGTTCCACTTTCTAATCCCCGCCTGAATCGCCAGCTTTAGGGCTCTCTTCACAAGCCGCCACTCAGCCGGGCCGAGTGCGCGGGGAGTTACACCCACCGCTAGTTTGAATTTCTAATGCCTGCAGAGCTTCTCCTAGCCGACACTATCCATGCTCCTAAAAAACATGGTCATATGGTCATACTAAGAAGTACTTAGGGCACTGAAGGGTTTCTATGCTAATCAATGTTTTGTCTGTTTAAGGCATATCCCTGATACCTATTTGTGCAGGTTTTATACTCAATAACAGCACAAGGCTGCTCCTGTTTGAAAATATGTCCTCTTAAAATTGAATAAAGGCGTGTCTGTGTACTTATACAGCCTACAGCTTGAGATAACAGCCATTCCCTAATACGGATCCTTGCGCTGTAGAAAACAAATGATAAAAAAATATCATTTTTGTTCCTTCTTGTACTCTTACATATTTTTTCACCTGCTTTTATTTATTTGACATCAGTCTCTATATCTGCCCTCTATCCCATTTCACTCCCCTACTCTAGATTTCTCTCATCACACTATAGTTGTCTATAGATCACGAAATAGATCACAATAAAATGTAAATTAGCTGTATTAATAGTTGCAACAAACGCTGAACTGGTCTCAATGATAATTCAAGTTAAATAGCGTTTATGTGGACAAACAAAGAGTAACCAAGTAACAAACTATGTTTAAACTGTATGCCATAATATATTACACTGACTTGTATGTTGAATTTGTTAACGCATATTGAGCGTGCAAATAAAGTCTGACACTCCTGTCCTGCATTTTCCGCATTCTCTGTTTTTTCTGTAGTTTGACAGTCATTCTCCGCTTATAGCAGCACAATTTAAAAAAAATGTTTAAGTAATATTCATTATGAATGAACACAGTCATTCCAAATGTTTGTTTCAAGACTACTGTAATTATAATTTACCTTACATCAAACACTTTTACACTAGGGCCTACAAGAATCAATTGTATATGTATAAGGAGTGTACTTACTGAGATTATATATATATCAGTTTCTAGCTACTGAAATGATCAGGTGCCAAGTCAAGTGTACCTGGGGCTTGACTTATTTTTTAATTACGATGCGTCCATATATATATATATATATATATATATATATATATATATATACACACACACACACACACACACACAGCTTGCAAAATTTTTGGGCAGTCAAAGAATATGTTTGATGCTATACATCCTGGGAGTAATCGCATGTTTGCTCAGAAAAAAGCACAATTTAACATTATAATATATGCAAATTGACAGTAACACTAATTAACAACAAAAATGATAACATAAAAAAATAAGAATTTCGTCTGTTTTCCAAAAAGTTTGTGATATCCTGTTGGATAGCTAAATAAAACTACACCTCTGTTTAGAGGGACCTCAGCCATTTTACGTAGTAGTTACATTTCTCCACCGGCTCAAACAATTAATTAACTTGATCTGCTAAATAACTCAATGGGGTATTGTTTATGCTATTGTGTGCTATTGGTCGAGTCAAAAATTACATAGGTGTATTGGACGGTTGCTGCAAATACTGTGGTTATTATAGGATAGGTTTTAAAATCGCTCAGCTGTCACACTTTGACAGACATAACATCATCGTCTTACACAAACATGAAGATTATTTAATTTTTATACCTAAGACTTTTAGGCCTATATATCTTTTCCCCTAGGGCTGATGTCACGCCATTCCATAGGATAATTACGATGCGTCCATCTGCAAAATAACACAGAAATTGAAAAAAAAAAAAACTCAAATTATCATAATGCAAATAGTAATATATGGTGATCAGGAATGTTTATTATATTTATTGCCATATTACCATATTGTGTTTTGTTATCCAAGTCTAGCGACCTTAGCAAGTTTACCGATTTACTTGTTGGCAGGGAGTCACAATGCAGGGAAATGCGGAGTGACGCTCGGAGAGGCTATCTGATGGGACGAGCCTATTTATAAAGGACAGCGGGGCGGGCGTTCAGCGCGCCGGTCCAGCCGCTAGTCCGGATCCGGTTACTGGGGGCCGGGCCGCCCGTGTTTACACTGTATGTGGAGCGTACAGTGGCGATCCGCTCCGCAGGACCTCCAACTTTCCGCGATCTTACCACTACCTCCGAGGGAGCAGTGCTTAGGGAAAGTGGGCTATGGGTGATCAGTGACACGGGTGAGTAAGTACGCCTGTGCCTAAGATCCGGCTGTAACATCGAATTTAGCACCCAGCCTCGTTAACCGAAGTAAAGCATTTTCTCTCCATCGCGAAGGCAGAAGTTAGCATTTGCGCCTCCAAATGCTAAGCGGCTACATTGTTACAATGTCGCATCGGCCGCCCTGCAGATGTGTCAGTACACAGTAGACACATTGGTTAATTAGTGCTGTTTGTGCTCTAATTGCTCTGTTTACCCCCGTTAACTATGCTATGGTTAGTAAAAGTTGTTTGCCCTTCATAACTCTGCTTACTTCCGTCTCGCCGATTAACTCATACTGCATATGTTAGCGAGTTTCAGTGCCTTTTCTGTTACAAACTTTAATCACACACCGATCGCCCTGTTAGGAGTATGCTTATTGCCTTGTTGATATTTTTATTTAGCTGTTTAGCAGGTTTATCTATAGTTGCACACCGTCCCTCCAAACTTGGTGTGAACTTGTGGGGTTAGCGAACGCAGTATTGCCATATGTGCGCTCATTAGCTAGCTAAGGCTGCCTGTGATCGTGTTAATAACGATCAGGCTGTACAATAGTCTTGTAAACTTACCGTGGTATCACTTTGTTCATGTTATGTATCAGTAATGCATATTAATATTACTCTGCCAGGTTTCTGTTCAGTGCCAACATCTCACCTCGTTTATGCATGATCTGTGTATCGTTTGATCGTAAGAAATATATATCTGAACGCACAATTTCCTTTTTATTGAGTTTTGTCAATTGTCTGCGTAGATGATCGCTATAAATATGTAGTTTTATTTATAGTTGTGCTAACGAACAGTAATAATCGTACGCTCAGGGATAAAGCGCTGTCAGACCGTCATGACTCATTTTTTTTTTTTACCGAAATTTCTACAGTAAAGAAAAGCTGCTTTCTGTCCCACGCCCATATGCAGTAAATTTTACCTTCTAATTAACGTTGGAAGCGGTCTATAATCACTTACAATCACTCGCAGTTACAGTGTAAAATTACGCACGGACAACACCAATGCTTATTTGATTAGCAAACATATTATGTAGACAGTAAAAGCACCTATATATATAGACCCCCCCATATTTCACATAAAATATTAGTTTTAGGCCTAACATAACTCCACAAAGACAAACTTTAATAAAAATGTCTAAATGTACTTTCAAATGTAAATTAAAACAGTACAGAGACCACTCGATTTCCTTGACATTTTTTGACTGGATTGACATAATCTTAAAAATTTGTTGTATCTTAACAGAACAGTTGTGCTGGTTTTATTCAATAATATAAGTAAGCGTACCATTTCTAACAACAACTGTGTGTTATATATTTTTCCTGTCAGACAAAAATTCTAAATCCTCGTGTAAGTGTCTATACACTGAGGCTGGTTCATTTCGAGAAGTTCATCATGTGGTTTTACTGTTCGTCTGCACGAACGAAACTCTTTGGCGTGTTGGTGCACGACGTCTGGATGACACCAGGAGAAATTTGGGGAGGGTTTATTATGAGGAGTAGAATATTATGACAACATGTAATATCTTTAAAGCCCATAATTAATGTGTCTTTATGAATATCCAAAGGTTCATGGTCTTCTCATAAACGTCTTGTCAGTATCAGGATCTGGTTTTCCTATTGCTGACACACAGTTAAATTGAGCCTTGACACATATTTTCTATGAGTACAGCTTCCATGGCTGCAGTTGATTAATGTCTGTGTATGGAAATGGCAGGACTGATTACTGAGGTGGCTCACTGGGCAGATTTTGCAACATAACATGTGATGAAGGCATGAGACAGTGAGTGGAGTATTTCCGACCATCTCGGAGGGTGGTGTCCGTCTGCAGCACGTGCTTGTGGGGTTAGTGGCTGTTGTGTCTCTGTTCTCGACATGATCACATGAACTTCCCCCATAACTCTACAGTTTGACCGACTTCAGCGGTTCACAGTGTGCCGTTGACCTTTCTGGGAAACTGATGCATTAAGCCTCAAGTTTACCCCTTAAGGAAAGCAAATGTTCTTTCAAAAGCCATAGATTGTCGGGTGTTTTTTTTTTTTCTGCAGAGGATCCATTTACGTTAAACAGCATAATGTATTTGACCGTATGGATTCAGACTAAGTAGTATCTCACAGATGCATTGTCAGGCTAATCTGTTCATTAGCGAGCTTTTGTTTGCCTGTTTGATGTGTCAGTCATGTTTACCCTTTTGTCTGTCTGTAATATATTCCATGTTGATGTTTAACAGTGGAGACCACACAAATAGCAATGTTTTTAAGTCAAGATGACCCAGGTTTTCAATTGTAGCTTCTTAAGTTCTGTTGTCCCCTTTGTGACCTTTTTGTAAATGATTATTAATAGACTATAGTGTCTGGTTTCCTGGCCACTTCTGTGCAGTGCAGCAGAGAGCATTACTTGTACAACACATCGTGTGCACTTGTGAAAATGCTTGCCGTTTAATAATGCAGTCCTCTCTTACTTCCAGGCCTTGGTGCGTGGATGGAGTCGTCGCGGGGGACGGGAGGGGCCACTGGGGGCCTGTCCCGTGAGTACAAGCTGGTGGTGCTGGGAGAGGGAGGAGTAGGAAAGAGTGGTGAGTCCTTTCGTTTTTAATCTCACAGTTTCTCTCTCTCTCTCTGTCTCTCTCTCTATCTCTCTCTGATGTCCCATGATCAGCAAACCAGCGTGACGAAGCTCGCTCTTTGCAGCATTTGCAACAGATGGCAGGTCAATAATACTTAATAGCCGGGAATATTTTTAAAAACGGTTGCTGGGAGGCCGCACCGGTACCTAGCAACAGCCTTTCTTTGTGACCGGCTGTCGCTATGGAAACAGGCAGGGATTACCTGGCACAGGTAACGGAATAGTAAATATGCCCAAGGCAAACTGCAAAGGCAACATGAGTATTAGTGTTATTGCATTATTAATTTTAATCTTCCCTGTACATTTTGGAGATCTCCAGTGGTAATGTATCTCTGTGATTGTTCTTGGCATAAAGAAAGATGCTGGTAAGTCAGTTTAGGAAAGGATGAAGGGAATATGTTTAATAAGGAAGTGGAGGGCAGGGGGTTCGTTGGTGTGGTTACCCCTAGCGTGCTGTGAAAATGTCCTCCTTCGATCGTCGGGGTATTTTGGTCAGTGTGCTCAGCCTCTGCCAATGCAGCCTTCATCCCCAATTTGGGTCGTTCTGGTACCCGACTCATCCCTGTGTTATAGCCAGAATAGTGATACCATCTCTGTCCTTGTCCCCTCAGCCATCATCATGCAGTTCATCAGTCACAGGTTCCCCGAGGACCACGATCCTACTATAGGTACGGTGGGGGGTGCCTGACCGGCCAGTGTGTGTCAGGGTTCAGGCAGATATTCTCTGAACGGCTCTCTTTCTGTGGGTGCTGTTGCTCATAATCTGTACGTTCGTAGAGGATGCCTACAAGACCCAAATCCGCATTGATGACGAGCCAGCCAACTTGGATATTCTCGACACTGCAGGGCAGGTGAGTCCACAGGGTACTGCGACTTACCCTGGCTGTAAACAGCAGCTCCATCTCATGCTACATCTGCTCCCCTGGGGAGGTTTTTGGATTTATTTAAGAGGTTGGGGAGTGCATAAGAGGGACCATAACCCATACAGATGGGCCAGCCTTATCATTAGCCAATGATATGTTTTGAATTGGTGAGTAATGGGGGAGGGGCACTCCAGGAGCCAATCAGCTTTCAGTTGGCGTCAGTGCCGGTGTGCTCCAATGGGCTCATCTCCCCTGCCCTCTGCAGGCGGAGTTCACCGCCATGAGGGACCAGTACATGCGGGCAGGTGAGGGCTTCATAATTTCCTACTCCATCACGGACCGGCGCAGCTTCCAGGAGGCTCGGCAGTTCAAACAGCTGATCTACCGCGTGCGTCGCACTGTGGACACACCGGTGGTCCTGGTGGGAAACAAGTCTGACCTGACACACCTGCGGCAGGTGAGGAGCAGGGCGCAACACTCATCGAGCAGGAATTCACTCGCAGAATATGCTGCGTGACATATAGACAAGTTTTCATTTATAGAGACAATTAAGTACATAAAATATGTGCTCTGTTTATATGTTTGGATATTTGGAATAGCCTCTTGTGTGTGTATATATGATATAGTGCAGTGTTTCCCATCCTGGTTCTCGGGAACCACAGACAGTCCACGTTTTTCCACTATTCCGGCTCCCGGTAGGAACAAAAACATGGACTGGTAGGGGGTCCACATGGACCGGGTTGGGAAACACTAATATAGTGAACTCAAGTAGAATGTATGTTATATTTGCATGGTTTTTATTTTTCTTTGAGCAGCAGTGTCTCTGAGTCTCTGTATTTGTGCATCTACATTGTCACGGTCATTCATTATGTATGTTCAGTGGTTGTAAATACTCAGTGACTCGTTAACAGCGTGACAAGTTCATCAGTATAAACATTGAGTCCTCCCGTCCACCAGGTGTCAGTGGAAGAGGGACGTGGGTTGGCACGGGAGTTCCAGTGTCCCTTTTTTGAGACCTCTGCGGCTTTCCGCTACTACATCGACGAGGTGTTCGCTGCCCTGGTGCGACAGATCCGTCTGGCTGAGGCCGCGAGGGGGGGCGAGAAAAAGAGCCACCGTCGCCACTCGTTCTGGATGCGTCTGAGGTCCCCTTTTCGGAGGAAACAGCACTCTGAGCACTAAGAGCAGCCGCGTGGGGTCAGAGGTCAGGGACGCAATACAACACCACACCCGTGACTGGAAGGGTTAGGGAAATTAGGAAAGATGTTCTGGAAGGGAGGTCAAAAAGAGGAAATTCGGGACGTTGAAGTGCACAAAAACACATAAAGGTGTATATGAAGAAGAAGATAAGAGGAATATGGAGGGTGGAGGAATCAGAAATTACATTGAAGGAGGATTTGAGTAAATTATATGAGAGATAGAGAGAAAGAGAGAAAAAACCATGGTCTTTAATTAGGAGGTGTTGAGGGAGATATAGGAAGGGTTAGGGCTAAGGGGCATACAAAATAATTGTTGTTTTGTAACATTATCCACCTCTGGTAAATCGTATGACAAAGGCAGATAGAAAGCATTTGAGCTAATGTTCCCTCGTAGTTTTCAGCAGTAGTGCGTAGATGGGTGTGAGTACAGCGCCCGCTTCAGCCGCGGTGGCGTATTTTCCTGCTGTGCCGCGCTTAAGCCTGCTGTCATTTTAAGTTGCGGCTGTTTGTCACGAGTTGAAACTGTCCTTGGCAGGCTGTAGTGCAGTACGGCAGTAAGGCGGCACGTGCTAGGCTGGCATTGTGTTCTCCACTGGAACTGTGAAGGTGCTCTGGAAACACTGTATGCCTGTGTCTTTTTTTTTTTTTTTACACATGCGCCTTTTTTAGTTCACTGTCTTGATTTTTTTGTCTGTGGTTCTTTAGTCATCTTTTTACTGTTGTACTTATCATGGTATTTCCCTAATTTATTTTCTTTTAATGCGCTAAAATAAAAGGGTTGAATTTTTCAACGTGCGTGATGTGTTTAATTATTATCATAAGGGAAACAATAAAATGTTAATGAAATAAATACACCGAATTTTGTGGTATTCACTAAAAGACTGGTTTCCTCATGAAAGTCGTGTAGTAGCGCCCTCTAATGGAGTGCCTCTGGATCCTTTTTAATACTTGTTTTTTAAAAAACGTCGACAAATTTCTCAGGGATGCGCTGGAGCGGAGGCTGGGGTACACAGTGCGTGGGAAGCCAGTCCATCACAGGACGCGTACAATCAACAGTCATTTATATTTTACCATTTAGAGACTCACCAAACCACATTACCGAAAGTAAAAAGAAGCGTAATTCCAACGTTGGTGTTTTTATTTTAATTGTTCGTGCCCGGTGTTAGTATATTGCTATAGTTTCTGAATTGCTGCTATAATGATTTTCAGATGAAAATATGTGGAATTATATTATTGAAAAATTCTATTTTACTAGGTTGTTGCGATATTGTTTAAGAAACTTGAATTACAAAACTGGACAAAAGAGTTCGAGAATAGTTTACATAAATGGTTGACTTATTATTGGTATTGATACAGGAAGCATGTTTGTCTGACGCCTCGCCCGAAGCGTTTCGCTATGTTTGTCTCTTATCGGACGCCATACTTAGGAAGTTGCACCAGTCGACCTGAAAATTAGACGGTTAATGCCAAACTGTAAACTGGATTAGAAATGTCTCTAAATTCGTAACTAAACTGTAGCTAGAGGCATTAACCGACTCTGCTGAACCCGACCGTGGGACTGTTGTGCGTTATCGGCGCTCATATCAACGCAGACAGGATTTCAGGTGGAAGTGCCCACGCTTTCGCTCCTTATGGATTCGTGGGTTCGGTTCAGTGCGCAGAGCCAAGCCAAAGATCGGCTTTTCAGGTATAAGCAAAATGCGGAACAGTTTTCTCTTGCATTTATTATCCGTCTGTCTGGTTAAATAGCTAACACGACTGGTTACTGTGCTGCGTAGACTAGGGATAGTTAACTAGTTAGCTGCGTAATTCCTTTTGTTTTGTATTAGCTTCGGACTTAGCTACTGGTTATCCTTTCTCCAAATCAAAGCATGGTCGTTAATTTGGGAAAATCGTTATGAGAATTAGTCATTAGATTGATAGTACAATCAAATCGTGTACGTTAGCGAGCTAATAAAACCACGTCTTGTTTTTTTGTTCTTCACACCACGCTTCGGTACTTTGCTTAAGACGACAATATTGGCAACGTATCATTACTACTATCTTGGAAGTGTAAATTTAAAACATTAGATGCGTTAAATGCTGTCCGGTAAAAACCAGCGGACCTTCACTATTAAAAGGACTTGTGACGGGGACGGGCTGGGATTCACCTCGGATTGTGGGGATGCAGCCGGGGAATTAAATTAACCTTTAGCATAAACGTTGAGCTCATTTGCGTATCATGTGGAAAACAAAAAGTTAACAATGTAACTACGTAAGCAGTACTTTGCGAAGGAAAATGTCCTAACAATGCACGCTTTCATCACACATTACTGCAGTACATAAACAGCGGCATATAATTCTCGGCTACTACATTATATATAAATTATACTTAAACGCACACCTGCCCTGTAGGGACATAGTAGCATAGCCTAACCTTACTACTTCGGGGAAGATAATTCCCTGTGGAACAAGCCCATGCATCAGCTGGCAGCTGCACAAGGTGCTGACCTTTTATCCGGACTGCAGCTCTGCGTAATCAGAGCCCAGGCTTCAGATCGTCTGCCGGGGCACGCTACGGCGATCAACCAGAGAGGATTCAGGCCAGAATAGGTCGTAAGATACAGGGGGACCCACGACAAATGGATTTCAGCAAGAAACTTTATGATGAGGAGGTTAACAGCAGCTGTGACAAATAGATGGCCTCATCGTTCCTAGTGTGCCATTCGGTGCAGTATGTTTCCAGAGAAGCTTTTCCACATTGTCATTAAAACGGCAAAAATAACTTCTGCACAAATGCTTTATATCACACCTTGAATATGTCATTTTTTCAAAGGTTAAAATTAGCCAAATAAGTAAAAAATAGGCCTAAATTCATTATGAATGAGAATGAAAATGTTCTCTCTGCAGAATACTGTCATCCATTTACAAAATGCTATGCACAGAGGAAGCCCTTTGGCTGCCTGGTTTCCAACAATGACTCAAAAAACCTCACTTATGAACAAGGGATGTTTTTAATGAATGATCTTTGTTCACAAATGAAATATCCTTACTTCCTTAAAATTAAATAGTAGTTGATGGCCTGAAGTAGAGAACTAACCCTTGAGGCTAGGAACTGTGCGACGTAAAACCCTGCGTGTGTTGGTCTCTTGGTTGCCTGTGTAACGTGGTGTCACCCAGCGTCTCTATGGTGCACTGTTTGCCGTGGATCAGGCAGTATGATGTAGGCTACTATGTAGTTTATTCCTGTAATTTTCGCTATATTCTGCTGCCCTTAAGAGTTCTTTAACCACTGCCTTGGTTTTACCAATTGGACGGCATGGTGAAATTGGATTTTTACACGTTGTTTCCAAAGACGAGGGATTAAAACATAATGGGTAGGACAAACTGGGATTCTGTGAGCTGTAGCTTTGGGTGGGCCATGTAAAATATTCAAAATGAGTGTCAGAATACTGTCATACTGTAGATAAATTGGGGTAGATAAGGTTTAAAACACACATCCCTGTTGTAGAAAAAAAGCACTAAATTGAGAGTTACTCCAAATTGTCACAGTCTTGCTGGAGGAGCTGGAATCTAATTTAACCGCATTGCAAAATTTATCAGGGAGCCTTCTGCAGTTTTTAAAGCAGATAAAATTATTTGACCAATAATTTCCCAAATCTGTTTCAGGATTATGGATTTATATTTACAATATATATCTGTGAACTGCGCTATGAAATTCAGTTAATATTTAATACTTATAGGTGGCGTGCCTGAAGCTGATGCCAAATTTATGACTCTGGATATGGGTTTAATTGACATTCTTTCCCCTGTGCCAGGGCGGCACAGTATGCCTGCACGTTGCTCGGTTACACCCTCCTCAAGGGAGGGGCCAACAGGGATCTGCTGTCCAAGGTGAAGCTGCTGGAGAGCCACCTGAGCCTGGCGAGGAAGCGTGAGTATGGTGTCCGTGCCGCTGGGATCACAGTGCCACAGACCAGTGGCCTGTACTACGAAGCGGGGTTACTGGCTTGTCGGATTTAAGGTAGTCTGGGCAAGTGAACGAATATGAAGTCCATTTAAACTGTGGTACCTTAAATCCGACAAGTTACCTCGATAAGCCAGTAACCCGCTTCGTAGTGCAGGCCACAGCTCTCATCGATGGCTGCGTGTGTACATATGCAGTGTGTGCCCCCTTTTCCACATTCCAGTGATGGGTACTTCCTGTTTGCCTCCTGGCTCTTTAAAAGCATTGTGGGGGGTGGGGGTGACTTGACACAATGGGGTATTTGTCTCGCACGCGTTATCTGCAGTTCTGTGAGATGAGTGCCTTCATCTCTAGAGTATCGCTTTCCCTGCTGGCTTGATTTCAATAAACATTCATAATCAGACATGTGACACTTCCTGCTTGCAGTTTTGAAACTGCATATTAATTAATCCTATCAAGTTTTTTTTAAATTAAGTTAATTATCTGTGCAGTAAAGAGCACCAGCCCACACCTCCTCACCACTGTACACTAGGACTTAATAATAAAAAATTTAATTTGCATGTGGCTCAGTGGGCTTAGCTGTGATCCAAAGGTTGCCAGATCAAGCCCAAGCTCGGCACGTCTGCAGGCTCTTGAGCAAGGCCCTTAACCCCCACCCCGGGTGCTGCTATGCGTGGCTGCACCTCTCAGCCAGCTTGCTCTCAGCTACAGAGAACATGCGGTGGGAGACGTAAAGAGAATTCCCCCACGGGGATCAATAAAGTATCGATGAATATTATTATCGTTATTGAATTAGTTATTATACTAACACATTTGATGTAATGTATAAAATAATTTAAAATGAGTTTGACAGGGTGGGATAGACTCTGAGCCTTTTGTGTATCCTTGTACTTGGTAAGCAGATGGATGGATGGATGTGTGAATACTGAAACTACTATAAGTAGCAGTCAATGTAAACATGATAACCTATACAGCTGTAATATGGAACCACCCGTGGTTGCAAAATTGCTTTTTTTGTTCCCATAATATTCCGTTTGTTAAAACGGTAGATTGTTATTTGCCAGCTGGCTCAGGGACACTTGGCACCCCCCCCCCCAGAAGGATTTCGAGCCTCTAGCCTCTGCTCTGAGCTGCTGGGCATGCCGCCATGGCGACGGTGACTGGCAGCAGTTTGGAGATGGATGTATACATGGATAAAAAGAATAGCCTGCATTTTCTGGTTTTAGTTTCCAAAGTCTCCCTAAAAGAAAGCAATTTTATGGATGTTATGTGATAGGTGTGAGATGTGTATTTAATATATTTAATATGTATAGGCACGTTAACATGGTCAGATGCCCCTGGGCTGTTTCAGTTGTCAGAAGCCCCCCTGTGACTGGGGGTGAGGGCAGGATGGGGCCCCTGCACTGCGGCCCAGGAAAGCCCATGCATTAATGACAAAACGCCATTCCAAAAGAATTTTTTTTCCTTTGTATACAATCATATCAAACTACTAAATCCACCTTTCGGAAGGTATTTTCTATTACCTCTCTACCTGTACTCAGCAGCATGACAATATAATCAAATGTAACATATTTTAATATTTAAATAGTCCTCATGTCATGCGCAGTGAGGGTGAGGGTTCGGTTAGGGTTTCCAGGTCTTGCAGCCTCTCCCCCCAGTCTGACACCCATACCCCCCCTCCCCCAGTGCTGCGGCTGGGGAACTCGGCCGATGCCCTGGAGGCAGCGAAGCGCGCGGTCCACCTCTCCGACAGCGTGCTGCGCTTCTGCATCACCGTGGCCCACCTGAACCGCGCCATGTACTTCGCCTGCGACAACGTGCTGTGGGCCGGCCGGACGGGGCTGCTGAGCGGGCTGGACCAGGACAAGTGGGGCCAGAGGTCTTTCAGGTGGGGGGCGGCGGCGGCTCTTCCCGGCAGCGTCCAGCACGCCTCACTGCTTTAGCCCCGCCCACCAACATGGCTTCCCCCTCCCCCTCTCCCCACAGGTATTACCTCTTCGCCCTGATCCTCAGTCTGACCCGGGACGCCTATGAGATCAGCCTGCTGATGGAGCGGGAATCCCGTGGCACGGGGGCGTCCTGGAAGACCCCCTCCAGAGGCCTGTGTTCCCCGGCACAGGAGAACGGGGAGGCTCTGGTGGGCGCTGCCTCAGAGCCCCCCTGCCTGCTGGCCCCCCTCCCCACGCACCTGCGCAGACGGCTCCTCCTGCTGGCCGCCGTGCTGCGCGGGAACCCGCCCCTCGCGCTGGACCTGCTTAAGAACCTTCTCGACATTTTCATCCCCCTGGATCGTCTGGGCCTGTACCGGACGGGTCCCGGCTTCGTGGGTGCCTGCGGCCTGGCCTCCTCCGTTCTGTCCATACTCACCATGGTCTACCCCTGGCTCAAGCTGAAGCCGTAACTCTCTGCCCTCGGCTGCTACTGTTTTTTTTTTTTTTTATTAATCAGAGGTTGGACTTTCTCAGGTGAAATGGTTTTAAGACGAGTCGCAGCATGCAGTCGGCGGAGAGACGGTGCTGTGCGGTTCGTCTTCATAAAATGTGACGCAACATCCTGTTTGTTTGTTTTTTTTGGTTGCTGTTTTGATGATGTCGTGCTAACGGTCATGTGGGCCAGAGGTCACATGATGTGTCTGATAACTGTCACACTAGGACCCTGAATTGACCAGGAAATGATACTTTGCTGACTGTTGTCACACAAGACATGAGGCCCATATAAAATGATCTGAATTTAATGGATGAAGGCCGGCGTGGACTGATGTGTGGTCTTGATACAGGATGTGTCTGTCTGTAGTTCCTTTGTTACCCCATTAAACACCATTCAGTGTGTTTTTTTTTTTTGGGGGGGGGGGTGTGGGATGAGAATTTCAGAGGAACCGGAATTCATCGCCTGGATGATCAGAAAGATAAGAAACCCAGTAATCATCATAAGTAATGGCATATCCTACGCTGTTAATACTAGTTGCTGTTTAATCTTTAACAGTATTAGTATAGTCAGGCCTTATTCTACGGTATTTTGTGTGAAAAATGTTTTGGCAATTTAATGTTTGAAACTTATATGCAATTATAAAACTGATCCATTACAGATAGTAATTCGGTTAGATTAAATTTCCTTCCCCCGTACCAACAACAACAAAATAAATTTTACACCCAGTGTGTATTGTAAATATTTGCAACCAAGTAACCAGGCTAACAGCCTCAAAATAAATATTTTTTTTTAATATATTTTGTTAAAAATTGTATTTGCCTTGCAATGTCCGTTTGAATTAATGCTCGTTTAAATGCTTTTATACACCCTCTGTTAATAAAGGGATGGATAATTTTCTGACTTCACTAAATGGTGATGTGGCCGGACATTTCCCCGGCGTCCTTCCTCCCCCACAAACTCCCATCGGTCCTACAGCCATTTTGGATGATTATGTACTTTAATTGTAGAAAAAAAAAGTATGTACTTCATTTGTTATATATACGCCTCTGGAAGCGGCTCTCATAAGTGAAGTGAATGGGCTCTTTCAATTCAGTCAAAAAGTTTATGAAATTGGGGGCTTAGTATTTACTAGGGTGCTCTGTTTTTAATGTAATTGAACAAGAACACACTATTAAACTAGTGTACATTTATTCTGAAGGGCTAAAGAACATTTACGGGAAGTGGAAGCACAGATAGACTTGCTACATACCACAGGGTACATACTACATGTATGCTGTATAAAGTCACGTGACAAACTGCAAAGCTAAAATAGCCCTAGTGACACATCTGGTTTCCCTGTGCAAATGTGCAAGACATGTTTCTGTGTACAAGTAGCTCCATATTTTTGTGGATATGATTTTGCAGAACACATTTCAAAAATACATATTTGTAGATAGTGAGATATTTGTGGATTATGGGACATATTTGTGGATTTTTGTCTGTGGTTTACAAATAATAAAGTCCAATAAAAACTTCCATACATGCTCAACCCATTAAGCTATACAGCAGCCCAGGAAGCAAGGAAACATACTAGGGGCAGATGGGCTACAAGACAGAGGGGGGAAGCAGGGTGACCAGTGACACCTGCTGGCCAAAAGGGGATAAGACACAGGACAAGGTCAAACGGGCAACGACCCTGCCATTAGGTCCCATGAAAGCATATTATATTTATTATATTCCAGCTTTTCAGTTCACAGCAGCAACAAGAACAGATGAGCAAATGGTGCCCCAGCTTGCAGAAGTGCATTTTTTTTAAGGTTTTTTTTTAGTATTTGACCAACAATTTGTTCTTACGACTATTAAAAACTTATTGCAATTTTGGGTTTGGCCCATTTTTCTGCCCAGAAGTGAATATGCTTTATAAATTTGACACTAATATTATTTCTATGCCACGGTTTTGAAAGCAATAACATGATATACATATTATGGTTTGAAAAAATTCTTATATAAAATTTTTTAAATAACCCAAATATGATATAATCACAGTCAAACTTTTCAGTTTGAATCGAGGCTGCTGATTGCCAGTTTACATGTCAGTTCCATTTAACCGTATTGCACATCTGAAGATAGTTTTCCATATCAATGCCCATGACCAAGGCCTTGTGTGTGATCATGTCCTGGAACCATAATTCCGGTGGCCTTGAGATAGAAACGAATCATGCTATGGTTACTATTCTCCATCTCAAGCTGTGTAGTATTGATTTCAGGCCATTCATACAATTACAATGAACAATCATACCGATAGTCTAATTGTAATCCTTGCTTGCGTTGGGTCAATAGAAGATAATAATAATGTTGTATTGGGTCAATCAGAACATTTAAGATTCCACTACGGAGCCAGAGAGAGCAAGTGCACGGGAATGACACACCACACTTAAAATAGTAATTATGTAAGAAAACTAATTTACTAAAATGAATTGTAAGACAAAGAAATGACAAACTGTCTACTTGGGTAGTGAGAAAACATATATACATAAAGACATTTATCTATATTCCTAACCTATGTTACATAAGGAAAAATTTAGTCTCATCATAGTGAGAAATGGGGGGGGGACACATCTGTGTTTTTACAAAGGATGGTAGTCATGTAGCAACATTGAAATACATGAGTTCTGATTTCACCATTATCTCTCCTCTTCTGCACAGAACAGTGCCTATACTCTCATTCCATTATCTTAAATGTCACTTTGATTACTATTCATTATTTTTTCTGTATACTCTTAGGGAATAAGAATTATGATGCTCATGAACAATAAAGTGATGTTGGGGTGTAATGAAAAATCAGAAACCCAGGCTAAAGTTCTCATTGATGTTCATTGGCTTCACTGATTTATAACCCAACCAGATTATTTTTGCAGTGAAAGATACAGTGACTTGTTTGAAAGGAAGAAAAAACTTTTAAATTTGTTTTTATTTCAAAAGCCAGTAATCCACAGGGCCCCAGAATTCTGGGTAATTTCCAAAAATAACATATGTATCTTCAGTTTTTTTAAAACATATTTTTGTACAACTTAAACTGGTCTCATATCAGATGAGGCTCACGTCAGAGTGGTGAGGTTGGTGCATTGGATGTGATTGGCAATGCAGAGTGTCTCATGCTGCTGCCTGCAGCTCCATATTCCTCCTGCAGAGACTCCAGACTGAGTCCCTAAGGGCCCCAGGGCCCCTCCCACCCTTCTCCTCAATGGAAGAGATCAGTGTGGCAAAGCGATTGGTCACAGTCAGATGAAATGCACGTTACGGCTGTGGGTCAGTGGCTGTGTGCCGGTGACTCTGTCAGTGATTGGCTGCTGCTTAATGGGTGCGTGTCGTCAGCTGAAGGTCAATGGAGGTTGATATCTGCAGACCAGTCACGTTACAGTTCCTCACTGGGACAGAGATACTGTACTTAAGAGGTTCTTGATCCTGCAGTGATCTGCAGAGGAGGGGGTGACCCGCCACTCCATGACCTGCTTATTCTTCTAGACCAGTGTACAGCCTCAACCCATCCCAGGCAGCATGTTGTTATTGTTTGTTGTTGTTGTTGTTTGTTGTTGTTGTTTGTTGTTGTTGTTTGTTGTTGTTGTTTGTTGTTGTTGTTTGTTGTTGTTGTGGTTGCAGCAGCATTTGGCTCAGTGGACTAAGCATCTGTGCATGTACTCAGAAGGTTGTTGGTTCAAGCCTGGCCTTGGCACGTCTGTGAGCAAGGTCCTTAACCCCCAGCTCCCTGGGTGCTGCTATGGGTGGCTGCCCTTCACAGCCAGCTTGCTCTCACCTACAGAGAGCAAGTTGGGGGATGCGTAAAGGGAATTTCCCCGCAGGATCAGTAAAGTGTCTGTTGTTATTATTATTTAGATTAGCCAAAAGTTTGCAACTATTTAGATCTCCACTAAGAGGGGGGAGTTGCCGACAAAGCAAACTTTTTTTTTTAATATATTCAGAAAATCATCTTGCAAGCCTTCCCAATTATTTGTCGACTTCCCCAAAGGTCAGCCCACAGCTTGAGACCCGCTATATTAATACACAGCCGAGTCCAGTTGATCAGTAGATGCCACTTCCCTCATATGAGGCCTAGAGGGCGCTGCTGCTCTTTTTCAGCTGGGCTCCAATGACAGCTTTTACTGCTGTGTAACAACAGCCTGTTGTTAATGATAAAAGAAAATCTTCTCTGCATAATATGAATGTGGTGACTAAATGTGNAGAGGAGGCCATTCGGCCCATCAAGCTCGTTTGGGGATTGCTTAAAGTAGAGATCTGTGGGTGTTAACCATAACTTAGATATGGTCATGCTCTGACACATAGTGAATAAGGTAAGAACTAGGTGCAAAAAGCATACAGAAAAAGGGTCACAGGTCAGGGTCACAGCGGTGGGGGAGCCTCAAGCTACTGATGTTGATCAGTGGCCATAAGGCTGAGGTACACCCTGTATGGTATATCACACACCTGCACAGCCACACAGCTGCACAGTCACACACCTGCAGAGCCACACACCGGCACAGTCACACACTGGCACAGTCACACACCTGCACAGTCACAACACCGGCACAGTCACAAACCTGCACAGCCACACACTGGCACAGTCACACACCAGCACAATCACACACTTGCACAGCCACACACCGGCACAGCCACACACCGGCACAGTCACACACTGGCACAGTCACACACCTGCACAGTCACACACCAGCACAATCACACATCGGTACAGTCACACACCTGCACACAGACTAAATCCCTCCAACCCGCTAAACACACGTGGTGCCCCTACTGTATTGGTGGGGACTCGTCCATACCACCCACAACTAAATATACGTCCTTGCATGGAATTATCCTAACTTTTACATCTAAATCTTTTCACAATTTTATCTTTGTGTAGACTAACAACAATGGCAAAAAGACTATGTAAGTAAACTTCCCTTTTTCCAGCTTTTCAGTTCACAGCAGCAACAAGCACTGATGAGCAAATGGTGCCCCAGCTTGCAGAACTGCATTTTTTAAGTTTTTTTTTAGTATTTGACCAACGATTTGTTGTTAAGACTATTAAAAACTTAGTATTAAATATTTTTTGCAATTTTGTGTTTGGCCCAATGTTTTATTTAATACCCGTGGGTCGGTGTAGCTAGGAGGCAAATGAGGCGTGTGGGGGTGTGGATGGGTGAAGGCTCCTGACCCCCCATGATGCGATAGCGGCGTGTGGCCAGACCTGGCCGCGCGCATATACCACCACCTCGTCACAGCCCCCCCCCACACATTGGTAATGTCCTTAAGCGTGAATGACAAGCTGTTTGCCACCCACGTGCAGCATGTTTGGCCCTGCAGAGGAAGCAGAACAGCCCAGTCTCCGGCCGGCATCCAGACAGGGCGAGTGAAGGAGTCGTTAGTCATTATTTATGTCATACGGATACCACCAGTAGCCAAAAAGCCAAATCGGATTTATTGACGTAATTTCGGGCATTACGGAGAGGGGAAATCTTGTCTTGTCTAGTTATGTTTAAATGACATCATTTTAATTGAAATGTTACATTTTATCCATTCCTCCAGAGCACTTATCCAGTACAGGGTCATGGTGAGTCTTCCCCGAAAATGGCTTAATGGGATTCCGTTTGACCCCACGGCAGGTATTGTGGGCGATACAGAGACCCAGTGTACCTGCAGGTATGTTTTTGGATTATAGCAAGAAACCCACAGAACATGTGAACTCCACACACACAGACACACACACACACACACACACACAGACCTGTGCTTATATCTTTGTGGGGACCATCCATTCATTTCTGTGGACAACACCCTAATCCCAACAATGACGACCTTAACCCCTAACCAGCCCTAACCTTAACCTTAAGTAACCAAAGAAAATACATTTTTAGTTCTTTTGAATGCAGTC